GATATGAAATTTCTTGCTTATGTGTGTTGTTTCTGGTTTTTACATGTGTTATTCATAATATTTTAAATTTGATTTGTCTTTTCTTAGTTTTCAAATGTCATATATATCATCCATATAAAGATCATCAGAAAATAAGAATAGACTGACATGTCAAGGCAGACGAATAGATAATTTTTTACACAATAATGCTAGGAATTCAGAGTCATCCCTCTCACTATTCTTAGAAGTTCCACACAAATCAGGAACCAACCACTACATGGTAACTTGAAATGCCTCTTAATATTAAATGTGATATCAGCCACAATCCATTACCAGATTATTTTCAAACTGAAAGAGACCCAAAAAGATGTAATTTCAACATTGTAGCATGGAGTAATCTTTCTGATAAATGTGTATTTCACAATTCAAATAGTGTAACACTTGAGAAAGCCTTAAGTGATATTGCTTACAGTAAAAGAACATTAATAAGAAAGTAAGTTACAGATATTGTGCATATAAGATATTTGCTTACTCATAACAGTAGCAAAATTACAGTTATGAAGTATCAATGAAATAAATTTATGGTTGGGAGCCATCACAACATAAAGAACTGTACTACAGAATCACAGCATTAGGAAGTTTGAGGACCACTGCTCTAAAGAAAATGAGGAAAAAAACAGGATACTGTTTTAGCTCAGCCAAGGCGTCCATTTAGCAAGTGGTACTGACTGTCTGAGGATCACAGAAGGGTTGTCCAAAGCATCCCTGCATCTCTGTGTGGTGATATTTTATTTGTGCTGAAATGTGGTTATATTTTATTTGTGTGTTAATAAATAAAGTTTGTCTGGAGATCAGAGGTCATAGCCAGCGATAAACAAAAGTCAGGTAGTGGTAGCACACACCCTTAATCCAATTGTATTCAAGGACACAGCCAAGGTTGGTGACTCATGCCTTTAATCCCAGTACCAACCATAGAGACCTCGAGGTCTGTATGACGGCAGTGATGAGGAAGTGAGGTGGCTGGGCTAAGACCCAATGAGAAGGCAGAACAACAAGGCAATAAAGGTTCAGGTTAGACAGGAAGAAGCTGGTTCTCTGAAAGCTATGGTTGTGTGGTGAGCTAAGTTTAGTTGGTGGCTATCACTATTTCTCTGATCTCTGTAGCTGAAGTTATTCTGTGTCCATCTGGCTCCTGTGTCCTTGCGTTTCCACAGCCACTCAGATCCAAATAAACACATACAGGCTTATATTATTTAAAACTGCTCGGCCATTAGCTCAGGCCTACCACTAACTAGCTCTTACACTCAAACTCAACCCATTCTTGTTAATCTAGATGTTGCCACGTGTTCCATGGCTTTATCTGTGTGTCTGTTACATGCTGCTCCCTGGATGGCGGGCTCGTGTCTCCTGACTCAGCCTCCCTCTTCCCAGAATTCTCTTCTGTGCTTGTCCTGCCTATACTTCCTGCCTGGCTACTGGCCAATCAGCATTTTTTTATTTATCAATCAATCAGAGCAACACATTCACAGCATCCCCAGCAGATCTTTATGGCTTTCACCCCTGTATTTGGCTCTGTGTTTCTTATTTAATAAGACTTTAGAAATCTGTCTACATCTCTGTAGGCATTTTTTTTCTCTTTTTTTTAGTTTTTTGAGACAAGGTTTCTCTGTGTAGTTTTGGTGCCTGTCCTGGATCTCACTCTGTAGACCAGAACTCACAGAGATATGTCTGGCTCTGCCTCCCGAGTGCTGACATTAAAGGTGTGTGCCACCACTGCCTGGCTTTGTAGTCATTTTTTAGGATTCAATATCTTTAAAAGTCTCCTTGGAGCAAGGAGACATCTTTTGGGAAAGATACGCAAGTAGGGTAGGCAGGGTCATAAAGCAGAAATCCACCCAGAGCTGCAACTCTCTCCACTCTCTCCTTGAAGGGAGGAATCTTCCTTTCTTTCCTGCAGGTACCCACTCCTCATCTGAACAGGATCTCTGCTTCTTGCCAACCTTTCAGCTTCACCATGTTTCTGTTAACTTATTTCTATGCTATATTTTCTTCATGCCCCCAAACCTATATTACAGACCCATACCCTCTAAATGAGCATGGTGTTAAGCACCCCATTCTGGGTGTAGAGGGATGCTGGGTTCACTGAGAACCATGTGCAGGGCGTGTTCATTTAGGTAGGCTGTGAACAGAAGATGTCAGTTTGATGTCATCACTAGCATACATGTCATAGATGAAAAACTGAGATCTGAGGATGATCACACAGCTACTGAGCACTACATACACTAGAACTTGGTTCTGATTAGATGCATGTCGAATATCACTATTATGTACATTAATATCGATCAGAAACACACCAGATTTAGACATACAAACTCTTTACTTGGGGAAACAATAATCAAAACAGACTTAGTAATATAAAAGGGCAGTTAGAGGAAAAGAAAGGCATTGGAGTATAAGAGAACTCTTTAAGAATCTATTTCTCAGGAGTTGGAAAGATGTCTCAGTGGTTAAGAGCACTTACTGCTCGTCCAGAGAACCCAGGTTCAGTTCACAGCTGCCTATAACTCTAGCTCCAGGAGATCCAAAGGCCTCTCCTAGACTCTGTAAGATGCCCTGCCCCTTGCCATATACACATAAATACACACAAACATTAAAAAAAAAGTCCTAAAATAAGTTAGTTTCTAAATCCACTGAATTTCCTTGAGTTGCTTTCTTTTCCCCTTGCGACCTTCATTTCCCTGCTAGGAATTTAGTCCTCTCATGGTTTGTCCTGGTCTAGAATTCCCTTCTTTTCCTTATTCAACCCCTTTTAGAATTTACGTGTTATTCTGTCCATTGGAATACATGTTTCTCTCAGCAGATTCCTTACTTTTCTTATCATTGCCCTTTGACAACTCTTATTGAGTAAAATTTATACCATTAGGGAATCTCTAGTCCTGCGCTTATAGTTCAGTGTCCCCGATGACCACTCTGCTCCTCTTTATAGATCACCTCTGTCCTGAAATAGACTGACTCTTGTCTGTCACATCCACACGACTCTATATTTGCAGCTCTTGCTTTTCTACCCCTTTAAATCTTCTCTCAAGGCATATGTGCTTTGCATCCCTCACTTTATATTATCTATTTCTATTTCTGGTAATATCACACCGATGTACATTAAGCGCGTGAACATGCGAGCACACACACACGCACACGCACACGCACATGTACACACAGTTGTCTCACTGTTGTCTCATTTCAATGCATTTGACAGAGCACATTGTCCTACCTTCTTGTGTGGCTCCCCCAAAAAAGGTGAGTCTCACTGATGAGACCCCTACTCTCTCCCTCTTCTCTTTGTTTTTGAATTTCAGGATTCTACCACTCTTTGCCTTTGATTATATTTATTGATCGTGCTCATTCATACGTGTTTATTCATAAAAGTGAAATCATTTCCTTTTATACTCACATACTCTCCATCCTTAAGGAGTCAGATAACACCAAAATCTGTGTTAATACCTGAATACTATAACTTTTCACGATCTATGTATTTCTAATTTTTTTTATACAAACCATGTTACTCATAAAACACTGAGTAGAAAAATTTAAAATAGGAAGTTATTTCTAGAAAGCCAGATTATCTCAACAAAGTTCATTTGGACTACAATTAAACCTACTATAGTCATTACAATGTTTCTTTAAGCAGACAAACTTGTACTATCAGTGTGTAATAATTTCAGGTCATGCTAGGATGTAAATAATTATTGAGTCTAAAATTTCCAATATGGTGGACAAATTCAAGTATCAAGAATATGAGGCTGGAAACATACTTGTCCACACTAGAATGTCTCAGACTGTTGTAAAAGGTGCCCATATGGATGTAGGTTCTAAAATATTGTTGAGTTTGGGAGAAGCAGATTGCAGAACAGGGGGCATCGTCAGACATAGTAAGTGTCAAACTGTGTTCACAGGTAGACATTCAGTTCAGATGAGTGCAGAGCCGGAGCCAGCCTTAAATACGATGAACCAATTGTCAGCAACAATGACTACTATGAGAATACCATACTTACCTTGTACATTCTACTTTATCTCGAGATTCTGCAGTAAACCTAATTAATATTATCATAAAGCTAATTTATTATATAACCAAGTATGAAAAGGTAGTTGAAAAATAGTTATAACTTTAAGGGGAATCTTCACTCCATCCTCAGTTGTTGAATTATTATGAAAATGAAAGCAGTCTCTTATGGTACAGTGCTATGTATAATTTGGCAAGTACAGTGTTAATTGCCCTCCTATTTATTTAGTTCCAAACATCATTTATGAGTAGATACATATAGTTTTAAAGCATTTCTTTATGTTGGCTTTGTTTCAATGGCTTTTGAAAATTAGTTATTTATTTCAGAAGTCAACATTGCTTATCATTTCTAGGGCAAGATTATAATGTTTAAACAAATTTAGTATCATATAGGTACTTCAGTTGAATGTGTAGACTCAAATAATAAGAATGTTTAAATCTATCTGTCAAAATACCATGCTATTATAATTTACAATCATATTTTATAACTTCCAAGTTCATTTAGTTGTCCCCAAGAAAACACACTAAATTCTTTGTGATTAGACTTTGGAACAAACAAGATGTGATCTTTTTTTTCCTTCAAAGTCATTGTAATCTAAAAGTGTTCAGCAGGTAGGGAGTAGTCTGGAGAGATGGCTCAGCAGTTCACCACACTGGCAGTTCTTCCAGAAGATCTGGGTTCATTCCAAGAACCCACATGTCTGATCATAACTGTATGTAACTTCAATTCCAGGAGATCAAACTTCCTCTTCTAGCCCCCACAGGCACCAGGCATGCACATGTACACACACATACATGCATGCAAAGCACCTATACACATTAAAATATAATAAGCAATTGGAATCTTCAGGTCTCCCGATTTTGCTGTGCATAGCCTAGCCTGTGTACCCTCAGTGAGACAGTCTCCATTCTTCATCAGAGGACATTCCCCTTGTTTTAGCTATAGCCCCCTTTAGTGTCTTACCTTCACTCTTGTCAATTCCTCAGGTTCTTCTACTGAAAAGTAAGTAGCTCACTTGAAGGCAGTCAGAGCTGACCAGGGAAAAGACCATTTTCTAACCCAGATATTTTCCTCTAGGTCTCCAGTGATGAAGACAAGACAGATTCGAATAAGCTGCACTTTTGCCCCTTCTGGTTTTACTGACCAAACAAGGGCCTTGCTGTTTGCTGTTTGTGATGCAGAAATAGACCACAACACTTGCTCACCCGTGCTGACTCATCACTTCTTCCCAGCATTTCACCTACAACTACTTCTTGCCAGAGTTTGTGAGGGCTTTAGGCAGAGAGTTCACTCGGGAAAGCGGCCTCATCTGCCTCCACTTCTTGCTTTCAGGCACACCCTGAACATCCTCTTAGCCTTTACCTGCATCCAATGCAGACTTTACAAATGGACAGCAGGGGGCGACAATTTCTAACATAGACCTGAATATTGGTGTAAGCCTAGCCTCAAGTTCTGTGGCAAGCATCAGATTTATGCACTTGTTTAGCATTCTCTATATACTGTAATTACCTAAAATCGCTTTTACTGGAAGCTTTTAAAAGGAAACATTTTAATTAGAATTTTGCATGGCTTCCTCCCTCCCGCAATTTGTTTGCTAGTTCGAAGAACCACACAATCACTGAGGATATCTATTCAATTGTGTTCTTCCTGCTTCCTATAAATCTAATATGCTGTAGAGTAGAATCAGCCAAACTAAAGTACAATTTGATTGAGGTTTGCTCTTGGCCTTGGTAGAAAGAATAACTAATTTCACCTTAGCTTTCTTCCTTCACACTTACCAGATGTCACTCAAGGGAGATCACCTTGACAAAAACGTGGAGAAACTTTCAACTTCCCGTGTCCTTTCTCCTAATTGTCTTTCAGAATTTACAGTTGTTCCAGGGGCTGTGTGTTTGCCAGTGAATCTGTGAGTAAATTTTGGCAAAGATACATTGGATAGGAATACTCTGTCCTGTTAATCCTATGGCATAATGTTTTTAAATAAATGTTATAAGAGAAATATTTTAAAGAAATTTAGACTGTCAGTAACTGTTTATTTTTCAATAAACAGGCAAGATTCTAACCATCAAATTTGTGAAGTGGAATACTATAAGAATGGGCTATTGCTGGAACTTGAACAAAAGGGAGGGATTCTTGCCTTAAAGTAATTTAGTAACAGTGTGAATATAGATGGTTCTGACTTTAAGAAATTATACCTACAAATTTTTCAATTCTATGATGGTGGAAAAACAGTATGAATCCAGTAAATCTTATCCGGAACTTTACATTTGATCTTTACTCTAGGCTAATCATGATTCAGAAAGATACTCTCTCAGGATGTTGGTCTATAGCAGCATTGTGCCATAGTGCGGTTGATCATGTGATCCCAAGAGCAAAAGGCAAGCATCATACACTGAACTGTGTAGCTGTCCTCTTCTAGATGCAACTGGTCAATAGCTTGCATGAAGTAGTCACATTGTCTTAGAAATCATGCTTAGATTTTTGTCAAAAGAAGATGTTAGTGTTTTGAATATGTTCAAAAGTAGACTTTGTTAAGTTATAGTGTTTGGTAGTTGGGTGCATTTTTTTTTTTTTTTTTTTTGGTTTTGGTTTTTTGAGAGAGTTTCTCTGTGTAGCTTGTGCCTTTTCCTGGAACTCACTTGGTAGCCCAGGCTGGCCTCAAACTCACAGAGATCTGCCTGGCTCTGCGTGTGCCACTACCACCTGGCCAATATTTTTATCTTATTTTGACATACATAGTTACAGACCCAGTTGGATCCCTTTCTCTGGGTCCCTATAACTGGAGTCTGTTACAGTTGTCCTTTGATGTTGTTCTGCACCCTGTGTGCCCAGATCATGCTTCTGATAACCCCTCTTTTACACATTGAAATGGTCCCAATGAAACACTCACTTCAATGGAAACTCTTTGGCATCTTCTCACCTTCCAGAATGGTCCTCAAGGCAATACTCTCCCTACTTATTGAAAAGAAGGAGCTGACTCTAGATAAATTTTACATCTGGATGGAAGACTGGCCACTATTACAAAACAGGCAATCAAGGTTAAAAATAAATAAATCGCTCTCAAGGCCATTGTATGTTCTGTTTTCCACGTCAGGAGACAATACCCTGGAGGGCAGGACTTAAATCTCGGAGCTCTTTCCATCCCACATTCATTCAGTCAGATGCATGTTTGATGGTGACAATAATGTGGATTTCTCTAAAATTTGACAATAATTACAATTTTATATTAGTCGTTTGATTCAGTAACTTGTAACAGATTAGGCACGGATACTCTTTTCTCTCCCTGGTGTTCAGAGTAGAGATACTAGCTTTTGCATGGTACAGCAACATCTTTTGAGTTACAAACTGCAAACTGCATGGAGATGATGAGTTCATATTGATGATCTTTTCAGTTTTGCTATAAAGAATGCCTTTACCGGTTAAATATAGCTTTTTATTTTACTAACTTGCACAGAAACTTCATAGAATTGAGTAATAAACTTTTCCTAGGAAGAAATTACCTAATCAGGAAATCTAATTATTTTCTATACACTAATGGTTTCACATTAAAGTATGTTTTATTTCAGTTTCATTTTTTTTCAAATCAAGAATGAAGGCCATACATAGGCAAATCATATTTTACTTTTTTAACTGGAGAATCTGGAGCCTTTTAGCTTTCTTATAGCATAGCACTAATTCTATATACATGTCTACATAATTTTATAGATATTTAGCCATGCTACATTTAGAAAAACTAGGGCAAAGCACTATGATCAGCTTTAGAAAAAAATTTCTGAGTACACGAATAACCATTTAGCTTATACAAATGTTAGAATATTCTAACTTCAGTTTTTGAAAAGGATTCTGTGTAATGCTAGCTGTAACTTCAATTCTGTGGTTTATAAGTATATGAGAATCTTTCACTCTGACTCCAGCCTGACTGTACTGGATTGACAGAGGGAAAAAGTTGTCAGCATTGCCTGTCAGATTGAAATTTAGCAGCGACTAGAAGGCATGGAAAAGCTTGAAGGTACCTGTCAATCATAGCATTTCACTGAGGATTAATTAAACTAAATTTGCTTGTTAATAAAGCTCAGAAAATCAATTCTATCATGTGATTAACTTTAAAGATGTGTGTTGTACATATGGATGTTTAGGGTTAGGAAATGAGATAGCATGCTTTTTCTTTTATTGTTCATACCTAAGGCAGCGGCACGAAAAGGAATATGGAAGGTTTTAATTAAAAGTAGATTAGAGCATGCACATAGCCAGGAGTAATTTTGGTATTTTTCACAGATAGCAAAATATGGAACAACAACTTTTTTCTTTGAAAATGTTTCCAGAATTGATTTTACACACAATTTTTCATACTGATTTATATATTACCACAAAATTCATGTTATTTAAAACATGAAAGCATGTACAACTTTCTATGATATGGTTAGTTTAAAACTTACTAACAATTTATTTAAACAACTTGTACAAAAGAAGTAAAGTGAGTACATTTTTCAGACTGTGATGATTATTTCTTTTCTAACAGAAATTAAAAAAATATTTGAAATCTTATGTTATTTGAATTCATTAATGATTATCTTATTTAAGTACTAGTAAACTTATGATGTAATGTGCTTTCTCTAATAATACACTGTGTTTTTCAAACTCTGTGCTTATAGGGGTAAAATGGTAAATAAAGCAGACATAGGCTCATGGATTTAATAATCTGTTGGAGAAAATAAACATATTAAATAATCCGATAAGAGAAACTGTAGCTGTAGCAAGCGCCATGAAGGATCAGTTCCAATGTCTATGAAGGTCTGTAATGGGAGACTTGACATAAAGCAGGTCAGAGAGTTTGCAACATGAGGTGTTCATTGAGTTTAGATCTAAAGGACTTTTAAATTGAGGTAGGAGATTTCCATCAAAATAGTCAGAGTGATGTTCCCAGGAAGAAGAGCATAAAGGTTCACTAACAAGATAGAGTTCCATAGACATAAGGTCAGTTATAGGTTAGACTTGGTTACCTTAAAAAACTTAGAAAATATATGTTTCTATTCTAACTTCCACTACCTGAGAATGTAAAGTTACTAAAAATAGAGTCTATGAAGTTTTCACAAAGCTAAAATTAAATAATCAGTGTAGGCTCTAATCTAGTGTGGCTTGTTTCTTCTAAGATGAAAGTTGGGCACAGGCATGAATACAGGGGAGACATGTAAACATCCACAGAGAGAAGACAGTCATCTGCAAGCTATGGGATGCTTACCAGAAATTAAATCAGGCAGGGAATAGTTGCTGCCTTATAACCTCAGATGAAGCATAGCCCTCTTGTGAACTTCACTTCGGACTTTGGCCTTCCAGAAGCATGGCATGACCAATACTTATTGTTCTAAGATATACACTTTGTGACTAGAACTTCCCCAGGAAAAGCAAACTAAATCCAAAAATATGTCAGCATCTATTGACAGTTTAGAGGAAGGCCTGGGTGACATCAACTGATAGAAGATGTAATGATAAGCAGGGGCCAGATCTTGGATAGCCCTATGTCTGTTTTAAAGGTTTTTTTTGTTAAGATTTATTTTAATTTATGTGTATGTGTGTGTGTGTGTGTGTGTGTCTCATTGTGTGTATACATGAATATAGGTGTGTGTGGGTGTGGGTGTGAGTGAGTGTGTTTATATGCAGTTGTGTGTACCCTTGCTTGCATTCCACACTTTCTACTTTCACCAGAAAGGATAATGGATCATGTGAGCTGGAGTTACAAAATGGTTGTGGGATTCCTGGCTTGATACTTAGGTGCTGATCTGAATTCCTTTCCCCAGGATTGTGCAGCAAGCATTCTTCACTACTGAGCCATTTCTCCAACCCTTGAAGGCCATTTCATCATAAGAGCAAAAGACTACTCTAAGTGGAAAAAAATTTTAAAGAAAAGAAAAAAATAAGAAAGGACGGGGAGAGGTATGATAGTTTGGAGGCGACTGGTAGCAATAGAGAAGTCAGTGGTAAAAGAGAATGAAATGTGTTGAAATATGTGAACAAACTACAAAATTTCCAAATTAATCCAGGGCAAGGCTTTTCTCCAGCTGCCATCTCTTGCCTTGTCACCATTTTCCATCTGTATAGATTCCCACCAACACAGACACGCGCTTCTTCATTCTGTCTTCTTTCTTGAGTGCAGTTAGCAGGTTGAAGAGGAATTTTCACAAACTGTGTCAAAGAGATACAAAAATATCTCTTACATTCTAAGAGACTG